GGGAGGGGAGAGTAGGAGGTGCCGTGTGCAGCGGCGGTCGGGCCGCTGGGGAAGGGAACGGGGCCTCATCCCCAAAGATCAGTATTAGCCAAGGACACCCCTCAGCCACCCATCTCTCGGCAGACCCGCCCTTGGTCCTTAAACACAAGGACCAGGAGGAGAGGTCGGCCCAGGCCTTCAGGCGAGGCGTGTAGGCCCGCCATTTGCCGAGCCGAGGCCAGAGCACGCTCTCTCCCCTCTCCTGTGGGTCTTGGGTCTCATCTAGCTGGGGGGAAACAACGAGGCAAGAGATTTGGCTGTGTTGGTCTGAAATTAGTCGCCTCTCTCACTTCACCCAGCACCTCTTTAAGCAGGAGCCCCCACTGGGGCTGGAATGTGGGGTGAGCTTAAACTGGGGTCAACTGGTTCTGAGGCTGCCCATGAGCTTCCTGCTTGGACAGGCAGAGGAGCTCCTGGTCTTCGGCTCCAGCGCGACAGCGAGCTCACAGATAATCATCTTCAGCAGATCTAAACATGCATTTGGTATGCTGTAACTTTCATAACTCCGAAGGTGCACTTCACTTCTAGCCTACAAACAAAGGACACGCATATCACAGTTAGGGATATAAAACCAGCAGAGAAAAATAGTTGTGGGCAAAGCCCCCAATACGTATTTACAATTACAGTTGTATCTAGCTCATTGTTGCAGTGACAGGGTGTCAGAACGAACAGCCTGACAAGAAAGACTGGGGCCTCAAGGGTAATCACATGCTACGAACATGTACAAACAAATTCTACTTGAGGCAGTCATTTTTACACAAATATTTTTCCTAAAGGAAATTTTAACTTCCTTCCCAGAAAACTTTAATTGTTTTCATGGTTAAACTTGACAACAAACCAACTTATCTTTAAGCCGCATAGTAGAAAGACTCCTTTATGCTGTTTCAGCTCCCTGAACAAAATCCACCGTACAGATTCTGTTTTAACTTCTACTGCTTAAAACAAACAGACCTCTTTTTCTGCTCGACAATGGGGCAGGACAACAAATTCCACCAATACAGAGCAGTACAGTAGGAAATACCATTATCTTCCCAGGACAGGGGAAGGGGTCACTTTTCCATATTGGACTGACCACCAAGAAGACTCTGAGGTCTACTATAAAGAAGAGAAGACTTCTTGCAAAGCCTTGAAAGCAAAGTACACATTCCATCTGTTCTTATGTATATTCACATTACAGTATTATCAAATGTCATTTGCTTTCTGCTAGAGAGATTCTGACCCTTGCTCCCACAGAACACTTCCTGGGGTGGGGAAGGGGCATTATATTTTTCCCAGCACATTTCAAGAAGACCTTCCCAGAATGGTCACTCAGTTTGCTTCTGCAAAGGAATCACTTATCTCTTCTTGTTCCAGAGCAGAACAAATAGAAGACTATTCTGGAATAAAACAGGAATTTTCACTTCTCTGAACTGTTTTAATTAAGCCCCTATTAGGACACATAAAACCACTCCACTGTTGTTGTTACATTGTTGTTACCTGAGACCTCCATTTGTTTCTTGTTCACAGTCATGTGGCTTCTCAAGTGTAAAACATTCAATGCATCCATGACAACCAGAAAATTAATTAACCCCTTTTCTCAGGTGTGTTTGTACTGGGAATTCTAGAGTACCGGGGATTTTAGTTACTAGTGTGTATCACCATTATTTGTAGTACTGGAACGCTCGCGACTCACACAGCCCAGGGACACACTCTGCCAGAACGCAATAATTACAGATAATATCAACCCCTCAACAGTACTTGGCAGGCTAAGAATTCAGAATATGTTTCTCTTCACAAACAGGTCTCCTTCTGTATTCAATGAAGTCACAGGGGGTTATCCAAAATTCTGAAAAACTGGGAACTTGCCTCCTGAGAACCTCATCTTGGTAACAGGACAGAAGGGGAGAAGAGGGGGGTGAGGCGGGGGTGTTACCTCTTGGTTCTTCAAATATCTTAAAACAGAGGTAGATGTGGTCCCAGTCAAGACTGAGAAGAGGAAGGCAGGACAGCATCAAGTAAAGCAGTAGTAACAGATGACCCAAAAGGGTCTGACAGGACGAGGGGCAATGGCTTCAAGCTGGAGGGGAACAGATTTAGATTGGAGATTAGAAGGGGGTTCTTTACTGTGAGGGTAGTGGAGCACTGGAACGGGTTGCCCAGGGAGGTGGTTGAGGCCCCATCCCTGGAGATATTCAAGGTGAGGCTCGATGAGGCCCTGGGCAACCTGGTCTAGTTGGGGGTGTCCCTGCTGACTGCGGAGAGGTCGGACTAGATGACCTTTGGACTTCCCTTCCGGCCTGGGCAATTCTATGATTATATGATTCTATGATTCTATAAAAGTGTGCCACACCAGCCAGTGCTAAAAGAGGAAGGCAGTAACAGTACACCCTACCCTTCCCTTGCACGGGACAGATGTTTAAAGTCGCATGATGCATCTAACGAAAGGAGTTTCATTCTTTCAGTCTGAGCAACACATTAGCTCGTTCATCCATTCAAGTCCATTGAATCAACATTTTAGAACACAAGTCAACCTGCCTATCCCTAACTTCAGAAAAAAATATTAAAAGTATGGAATTATGGGTTGAATAATAAACATATCTATGCTCTGGTGCATCTGTTATAAACTCATTATCATATTGTCCACAATAGGGAATAGCTCAGATTTCAGCCTCACAAGTTTTGTAACATATGTCTGCCCAACATAACAGCAACAGATAGAATTCAGGTCCTCTGGCTTTTCTTACAGCCTTAGTACAGCAAAGAGCAGAGGCTGTGCTCCTCTTGCTGCAGTGTCAGGGCCCAGTGTAGGCTGGGGGCTTCCTGGCAGATGGGCACCATGGAGAGTCCCCGTGGGGGCAGCAGGGCTGGCCCTGGGTCCCACCACCCCATCCAGGAGCAGAGAAGCTGGGGTGAAGTGGTGCTCAGCTGGGGGCAGCCCCAGCCCTGGGGACCTGGTGGGGACTGGGATGGGCCAAGGATCACGCTGGGACATCAGCCTGGGGTCCAGCAGGGCTGAGGGAATTTACTCATCTTGAATATGAATTTGTATTACATGCTACTAGAAATTTTCACTTTCAGAGAGCATTTCAGATCCTTTTTTTTTTACAGAAATAATAAACTTGACCACAAGAAGTATAGCCTACATGAGCGCTGCAGATGTGCTTAGCTTTCTAGAACACATCTTTACTGCGCAGCACACAGGAGTACAGCATAAATTACAGGCAATCCTAAAAAAGTTTAAATCAATTTCTCTGGCTGTAGCATAGGAGACCCTATCCTTTTAGTTTGATTTTTCTTATTTATCACAAGTGTACAGTCTGGTTTTTAAGTTATGATGAAAAGCTTTTGTTCCAGTCAGGCCCACGTCCCAGTACTGCTGTGCTGAATCCTGGCTGTGGATTCCAAAGCAAACAATGAAGCAAGACTGGGCGCTCTGTCTTGCTGCTGACATTGATGTCATTCAGCCACTTCTGTCACATAGACTGGCAAGTCCCACGCACTTGTAAGAGAAAGACCTGTAAGGAAAGATGGATTGGTTATTGGCTGATACCATACGTGGACAGTATTTAGATGGAGACTGACCCTACTGCAGCGCCGCTGGGGCAGGGGCTGGCGGCCACAGGGAACTGCCATCAGGGCCCTGACAGACAGTTCCAGCTGGTTGCAGGAACCTTTGCTGCAGTTGTGAACCAAGTTGTGAACCTGTGCCAAGGCAGAGCTGACTGACAGCTAGAGCAGTAGTGTGTTGGCAAGAAGGTACCTGGCCTCACAGCCAGTCGGTGAAGGGCTGTCCTGGGGAGTCGAAAATGGGGGAGTGAGAGCTCTGCCATCACATTAAAGCTGCCTTTGTTTAAAAGTAGGCATGCTTCCACATCAAGATAGCTAACCTCAGTCTTTACTCAGTCTTTAGGATGACGGTTCAAAGCAGTGAAGTGGTGAGATACTTTTAACCATGCTAGGAGAAACTATCCATGCTCTTGTCCTGCAAAAATGAGCACAGAAGGGCAGCCCTTTGGAGTTGTCAAGAAAGCATGTCCAGTCACAGCCTTATGAAGCTGGCAGGCATTAAAGGACTGCCTCCAGCCACAGTCTGAGGCTGTCTGGAGTGAGCTAGAAGCGCAGGAAAATTCTGACATGCCTTCTGTGCCTCAGCTTCTTACCTGTAGCACCATCACTGAAGTAATGGAAGTCAGGATTGCTGTAGGGACTTAAAGAAGGTGTTCAGAGCTATGAAAGATAGATGGTTCAGGTGAAACAAATAATCAAGTCAATTGATTATAACAGTTCCCCTGTTTAAGATTTCTAACATCCAAAGCATGTTTTTCTGTTCCATGTTTATGAAAGTTGCTTTGCCATATGAGATGCAAGTGAGTCAGTTGAACTGGGAATCACATTCCCATGTTGGACACCCTGAGACTGGTCCCTGTGAAATAACACAACTGTCGAGGCTATCTTCCCTCAGCTCTCTCACTTTTCCCCTTTCTTTACAATCATGTGGTAATCCGTTTCTAGGCTTTGTAATCCTGCCTTGCACCGTTCTGTATTTGGACTTGCAGCTAACTCCTTATCCACTTAAACTATCTACCTTACTTTT